ACCTCGCACACAGGAGCTAGGCCTAAATAATTACTACAGAGTCTTAGAAACAAACCCAAACAGGGAACAAATCATATAACTATTTTAATATAAAAAGGGGGTTATATGGGGACGACCCCAAAAAGGGGGCGAATATTAAACATGTTTGGTAGAGAGATTTGTTACCATATACGACTATAAAATACCAAATTACATCGAATTCGGTTGAAAAACGCGCTCAAGAACCCCAAAATACCGAAAATTGAGGGTACCCTTATATGGGGGCTATCTGAAAAAATGGACCTTTATTTATATTTTTTGTGGAGAGATTTGGTAGATTTGGTACATTAAGAACTCAAAATACTAAATTACAGCCAATTCGGTGGAATAATACGATCAAAACCCCCAAAATACTGAAAATTAGGAGGTACCTTTATATGGGGGCTACCAGAAAAAGTGGACCTAAATTTAAAAATTTTTGTAGAGACATTTAGTACCTAATAAGAACTCAATGTGCCAAGTTTCAGCGTATACGGTTGAAAAACGCGCACAAGAACCCCAAAATACCGAAAATTGGTAGGTACTGTTATATGGGAGCTATGCCTAAACGTGGACCGATATATCCCATCTTCGAACTTGACCTGCCTGCAGACAAAGGACAAACGTATGCAAAATTTCAGCACCCTATCTCAATACCTTCAGAAGATAGCGTGATTACAACAGACGGACGGACATGGCTAGATCGTCTTAGAATTTTACCCTGATCAAGAATATATATACTTTATAGGGTCGGAAATGAATATTTCGATGAGTTACAAACGGAATGACAAAATTAATATACCATCCATACTATGGAGGAGGGTATAAAAATTCTTACCAAATATTTTATTATTACCATTAAATTTAATAGTTGTGTTGCCAATTTCAGAAGAAGGTCTTCCAAAATTCTAAACATTTTACTGTACTATTGTATTGGTAAATTATTTCCTAAATTTCGCACATGGGTATTAGTTTTTCTAAGAAGAGCGTTTGTTTTATATTTTGATAGTTCTTTCTTCTGTTTGTATCACGTAAATGTAGCATAAACATATGGCATTAACAACTATGTTATTATTACCGTTTTATTTAACAGTAGTGTTGCCAATAGCAGATAATATTACAGTCGATAAAGCAGACCAGTTATATAAATATCTAACCATTATGAATATCTAATAAAAGAAGTAAAAAACGTCGTTATGTTGAAGCATATAATATCTTTATAAAAATAATGTTAAAAAATTGGTTTAAGTACCACATATGGGATTTATAGACTATGTCATACAGTCTATTCTTGTTATTAGAATACCTACTATATATTTTAAATTGCCCAAATTAATATATCCTTCCCAATGTGTTCTATAAGTAAACTATTTAAATGTAAATATCGTTTGTTTAATATTTTTATAACATTGCGACATTGCCATCTTTGTTATTATTACCGTTTAATTTAAAAGTAGCGTTGCCAATTGCTGGTAATATTATTGTCGATAATGCAGACCAGACATTAACTAGATAACAAAGTGCATTAGCATAATAATAATGGATCGATTATGGATAGCAACTTCAACTGGTAACGCCACCGAAATAAAACTGAAATAACATTATGAATATCAACTTTTCTCAGTTGACACTGTTTTGACACTTCTGCAACTAGAAATGTTGTAAACACAGAACAAATTAAATTAAATATTTCAGAAAAACTAATTATAAGTGATGATAAGCTCCGTGGAAATATTTTTTGATGATGAAAATGATGTGGAAGGCGTGGCATCTATTAGAAGGCATTTAAGAGATAAATCCATTAGAACTACCATTAGTACTGTGAGTAGATGCTTATGTTTAGAGAAATGGTCAATCAACTGCTCATTTTAGCTTGAAGGCGTATTTTCGGCTACCAAAAGATGCAGTGGTGTACTTGAAGTTGAAGTCTTAAACACTGATTTGTGTTTAATTGGCTTTGTTTGACCAAAAGTCCGCACGCCACGTGTTACATTTGTGTGAGCTTCCATCTGGACAATTAAGACCTCAAATTGTTCTTTTGTAATAATAATAAAAATAATTGATTGCCGAAAAATTATATTTGAAGCAACTGAAGTTGATAACAGTTGCCATCCCTAATTCAAATGTGGCAACGCCACTAAACTCTGGTTACCATCCGTAATCAACCCATAAAACAATTAAAAACCAAAGGTGTTCATATGTACAATATACTTTAGTTAGAATAGACATAGAGTCACATTCCATATCCCCTACTGTAATCATGTTCTCTACTCTAATTATTTGTCTTCTTTAAATATTAATCTAATGATAAAGACATTAACAGATTCATTTATTTTCTATCTATCTCTTATTATTATAAATATCTCTTATTATCATAACTCACTCTCTTATTATTATAACTCTCTTATTTTTATCTCTGTGCAAACTGCCCACTTTAATCCCGAAATACTTCTCAGACAGAGAGTAATAGGGAGTAAAATCTTAACCGATAAAAATTTAATTATAATTTGTAAGAAGATGATTATATATTTAATAGTTAGTTCGTATGTTGATCTCAAATTTAAATGTTGTTACTTGAAATATCGGTTAAATATCAAGTCTTTAGCCGAAATAATAAATAACTATTGAATTTATAATAAAATATTACAAGAACAATAACAATGTGTTTTATTATCAAGCATAAAACATAACTATAGGATTATTGGAGGACCATTGGAATGGAATCGGACATGAAAAATTGAATGTTAATCATGGAGCAAAATATGTATAAGATCTATATATAAATGGACGTATTTGAGTTACCATGGCATCCACCATTTGGTATGCTGCAACACAGTGCGCTATCTGAAATTTATCTCGACACAAAATCCAATACACGTTATTCTAGGTTCGATTTGGTACATTGTACACTAATACGTCCTAAGCAGACAAACTTTAGTTATGTGGTACATCATTTTGATGAAATCGAATGAACATATATATGGAAGCTGTGCAATATTTCATGTAAAGCGAACAGACATAGGCTCCTCAATTTGCACCATATGAAGGAGGTATGTCTACATCTGAACCGATTTCAACAACAAAATATCGTGCAATTGGAGCAGGATCTATGGTGCACCATTTACATAAAATGGTACTAATATATATATGTGAGCTATATTTAAATCTGAACCGATTTCAAACTTAACCAAAGCATTCTAGACTAAATTCCATACATAGATTCCTCGGCGCGCCATTTACATGAAATCGGACGAAAATATAGAGCTATATCTAAATATGAACCGAATCCTGTAGTAATTTCAATACGCAATTCTAAATTTTACATAAATCGGACGAAATTATATATAGGAGCTATATCTAAATTCGAACCGAGTTAAGCAAAACTAACTCTATTCTATTCTGATTCTATGCATATTCTCAAAAGGAACCATGTGCCTATCTCGATTCATTTTGCCTGTTACAAACATATGCACAAATACTAATACCCTGTACCACAGTGGGTGAAGGGTATAAAAATCGTTTAGCTCGGTGAAATTTTCAAACCCTTCACAACGTGATGTGCATTTCAATTTTTTTACAAAGTTCAGGCACAATGTAAGTGAGAATTGTCTGTTAGTAGGTTATGTATGCTCTGAAAAAAGTTAACACTAAATTAAGAACCCGAATTCCAAATAACACCTTCTTTGCTTGGAAAAAAATTTCTACCAGTATTTTTAATATCGCGATCTTTATCGTGATTTCAAAAAATCCACATTGATTTTCTTTAAAATTACTATACGTTGGGCGCCACTTTTCAATCCAAAATAATAACGAATTATATACTTAAATTTGCCACTATAAAATGTATTTATCTTCGTCTTCATTATTACACTCAACCTTATAGCTAATGAGAGTAATAGAGTTTGTCACGACAACCATGTGCCTCATGAATATATTGATTGTAGTCCCCAAGTTACTTGGGGCCAAATCAGTTATAGATAATGTCAAGTCGATTTGCAAATGTGCGTCTAATGTTTTAACTAAGCCTGTATGGAAAATGGAAATTTTATTTTTACCAAATCTAGATCAAAAAAGGAGCCGTCTACTCCACTAGAATCACTTTCTGAGTCGATTTGTGCATGTCCGTCCGTTCATGTATTTTTGTGAGCAAAGTGCAGGTCGCATTTTTTACCAAATTTGGATGAAATTTGACACATGTCAATTATTTGGCCCAAGGACGAACCCTATTGAAATTAGAGAAAATAAGTTCAGATTTAGATATAGCTTTAGATATAATACCCTTACAACATAGTTGTATAGGGTATAATTTAATTGGGCGCCATTTTCCTATTTGTGAAAACAAAACTCTTTCACAACTCAACAATATCGTCATATCTAAAAATGACTTGTCACTTTTTTCACAAACTAAGGACTCTCTGAACAATTCTATCCGAACATGACGATTTTGAAGATTTTGGGCTATTTCCTGAAGTTATGGATATTTGACTTTTTTAAGGTGAAGAATTTGGGGTATGAGCCGAAGAGGTATTGATCTCTTGAAGATCTAATTATACAATTGTATATCTTTCTCCGCGAGATCTTCTGATAAATTAAAATAATTTTGGATGAAAAATCTGAAAGAAATCATAAAAATATTTACCTGGTGATTCTCTGGACATGACCAAGGACAGAACGCAAGAGATTTCGGAAGACATTGGACTGGATTAGAACCAATTTCTTGAGTTCTGTATTCTGGATATGACGAACCTACTCCCTAGGTGCCGTTTACTACAGACAATTTTTGTTTCGTAAAGTTGTCATTTGTTTTTTATTTGACTTCTTTAATTAATTTTTATTTAGAGATTCATTTGTTAGTAAACATCAAAATAAACATTCATAGGATTTATACAGACATACATACATACGATACAATATTGCTATAGAAGAGAGGATTCATTAAAGGTTTAATTTTCAAGTGACATTCCGAATACTATGGATGGTATCTATTCATTGTCAACGGAATTATACAGTTGTTTATATTTACTACCACGGCCATAACTGCCACCACTTAGCAACATTTCATGTTGTTTGTCACGCAAAATCTTGAAAAACAACAGAAGATTTAGTAATTTTTTTAATAAATAAAAGTTGTCCTTACCTTCGGATCATATTTATAGTAGAGATACACCAATATCGGACCATAGATAATATTGAAAATTCCCACAATTCGCATTAACCAAACAAAACCAAATGCCTGAGCCAACTCCCCGCCCAATAGGGGTGCCAAACAATAGGCCAAACTCACCGATGTCTGTTGTATGGCATAGACGCTGCCATAACTAGACATAGAATGTGTACTTCGTGTATCGGTTGTTTCCATTTGTTCATCGTCAGCCGAAGATAAGGTTGCATCGACAAATGTTGCCAATAGTGGCACCAACGCAGCATCAATTATACCAATACCCAAGCCCAATCCAAAATGCGGTAAGAGTAATTGCGACACCGTTGTTGCTGTGGGGATCTATAGTAAAAATATAAAAGAAGGAAATAAGTAAAATAAAAAAATTTCAAATTCAAAAGGGAGATATATTTATCCTTGTATCTCTTTCCTTTTTTGTCAAAAAAAAATAAAAAATAAAAATCAGTTACAATGATTCTGATCATCAAGCATCTTTCCGACGCAAAAAAATGTTTGCGAATTAATTTCATGTTTTTGGAAAATTGATTTTCAAGTGACTGTATACAACACATAATCTTACATCACATCGTCAAAAATATCAAACTTTCCGAATATTCCACAATATATAGTTTTCTACAAATATTTTTATTTTCGCAATCTCAGCATAACGCCGTCCTTTCGGTCTTTGAAAACATAAAAGCGGGTAATGGCTGTGGTGTCATAATTCTTTGCTCTTCTTAGAAAAGAACTTTTTGTTCAAATACCAGCAATTTCAATTGGTGAATTTTCGAAAATCGTCCAAAGTTCTAAGCTTAATGAGTACTCCGATATTAACGGGGCACTGATGCACTGATAAAGTTTCAGATTACTTTAAACCGAAAGGAAATTATGAATACGATTACTGGTGTTTAAAATGCCATTCAAAGTTGGGCCAAAGTATCTATCCTTAAAGTATGGATATGGTGGTCCTACTTCTGAATTATACCTACAGACGAAGTACGTACAGGCCGACAAATTGGGTATATTATAGTTGGACGCCATTTCGCTCCTCAGGAAACCAAATCATTTGTTTTGTTCCATAGTTCCTATTAGTACGGGTGACGTAGAGGATCATAGATACCACGCAACGGCTCTGATTGGCTTTAACATGGCGAAGCCCAGGCTTATCTTGGCCCTACTTTAATCTCAATTGTGGACACTGACCTCCTTGCGGTAGTGAGCTTATATGTGCCGCGAGTTCACCCATAAGAACTATAAAAAATGCATTGAAGCGTCGGGTTAGTTTCCCACACTCGGAAAACCCCTCCCTGCCATGAAACGAGACGTGACTTTTGGCTGCGGATTTATGGTTAATAGGAGAATAAAATACCTCGTCTCCAAATTCACTCCAGTAGATGAGCGATTTGCTATAACCCTATAAAAGGGAAGTTCTTCCACATCAGTCTCATTTGCGCCCATGCTCCGATGGAAGACAAAGATGGACAGACCAAAGACATTTTTACGAGCGCCTAGAAACTGCATATGACCGCTGCCCTGAACATTAAAATCCTTCTAGGCGATTTTAATGCAAAAAATCGGTAGGAAAGTGCTACCCGGCGTGCTGTGTTAACGACTGAATCCAATGGTCAATATCATTATTGCACCATACCAATGCGGCTTCAGACCTGGAAAATCCATTCTTGACCAGATTTTCACCCAAATCCCTGAAAAACCCCACGAAAACCACATCGATACATTCCACCTATTCGTCGACTATAAAGCCGCATTCGACAGTCCTATCCGTTCAGAGGTGTTTAAAGCCATGTCTGCGTTTGGCATTCCTGCAAAATTAATTAGGCTATGCAGGATAATTTTAACTGGCACAAGATCAGCAGTTAATGTCGGAAAGGACCTCTCGGAGCCCTTTAATACCGAACGAGGATTCAGACAAGGTGACAGTTTGTCGTGTGACCTTTTTAACATCCTGTTGGAAAAGGTCATACTAGAGGCAAAGGTGAACAGAAATGACACGCTGTACACCAAACAACACATGTTACTCGCCTACGCCGATGACATCGACATAATGGGTCGAACATTGAGAGCGGTAACAGCTACCTTTGAACAAATTGAGGAGTCTGCCAAAGTGGGTCTGGCAGTAAACGGCGAGAAGACCAAGCTGATGGTATCAACGCGCAAGACGTCCTGTAGACTCGGACCAACTGTGGAACTTGAGAACTACAGCTTCGAGGCAATCAAAGATTTTATATACCTTGGTACCGCCATAAATAAAACGAATGACGTCTGTTTTGAAATTCCTTAATATGATATAAACATCCGATCATGAATGAATTTGTCTTTGAATACTAAATTTTGTCTTTGAATACTAAATTTTTGACTCTCTGAAATTTTGCACAGACATTGATTGTACTTCTAGGATGTTTTGTATTGCAAATAGGACATATTTTCCACGTTTTTTAGCCCACAAATAACGGTACCCCAATATTCGGTATTTTGTACACATTTTTCAACCGAATTGGCTGTAATTTAGTATTGTGGGTTCTCAAAACTCTATATAACGTCAATCATATGTACAAATATACTCTAGATAAATAAGTGCTGAATATCTGTCCATTACCCTATATTTTATATCCTGTAAATTTCACCTCTTTAATTCTCCCTGCCAGAAAATATAATAACTGACACAACAACAAAATACTTCCCCCAATTATACTTACCAAAATCGATGATATTCCCACAAGCAATAGCGATATACAGGACACTTTGATTTGGCCAAATCTATAGGCGATGGAACCAAAAAAGTTTGTACCGACAAAATAACCAACCGAATCTGGTATAAAAACCGTGCCCAATTGCCATTTATTGGGTTTCAAATTAGTCATTAGCCACAAGGGGAGACAAGGTTCCAATATTGCCATGGTCGACGTTGAAAACCATATTGCAATTACAATCGCCAAAATCATCTTACATTGAAGCAATGGTTTCCATTTGGGTTTTTGCTGTTGATCCACATCGACAACGGCCTACAAGAAAAGGGACATTTAATAAAATCGAAGGATTAAAATGTGATATGTTTACCTCCGATTGTACAGATAAATCCATTGTTATAAGTTGTAAACCTAAATTGATATTGAAAATAACAGAAGTAAAACAATTATTGAGGATCATGAGAATTTATGCTAATTATTACTAATATTTCAAGTGTTATTTTAGAATTTAGTACAGTTAAGTTCGGTGCCACCTCATCACCCGATGAAATAGTGAGCTAATATGTGCCGCGAGTTCACCCATAAGAACTATAAAAAAATGGGTTGAGGCGTCGGGTTAGTTGCCCACTCTCGGAAACCCCAACCTACTATGAAAAAGTTAAGAAAAAGAAAACCAAACCCCCCTAATGTTGACGACACCCGCAAACGTATAAAGGACCACGATCTGCGAATCTGCACTTGGAATGTGCGCACGTTGTACAGAACAGGCGCAGTGTTCGCTTTGGCGGATATACTCAAGAAGTACAAAGCCGATATTATTGCCTTACAGGAAATGCGATGGAAAGGGACAGGCGTAAGTAAATCAGACGATTACGCCCTGTATTATAGCTGTCATGAGGAGAATAAAAGACCTTAACAGGAGAATAAAAGACCTTGTCTCCAGAAGCTTTTCGTAGGCCAGTAGCCGAGGCCTACTCCGCTAAACTTACCCATCTGCTTGAAAAAAGCACTTCTTGTCCCGTTAATAGTATAGAAGCACAATGGCAAAGAATTGCCCACTCCCTACAAACTGCAGCAAAAAGAACAATTGGGTACCAAAAACCACCACCAAGAAACCCATGGTACGATCAGGAGTGTCGTAATGCTACTGATGTGAAAAACGCAGCGTATAGGGCAACCCTGCAGACAGTAGCAACACGTAATGTGATGGAGAATTATCGGGAGTAAAGGAGAGAGGAGAAACGTGTTTTCAGAAAAAAGAAGAAAGAACAAGAAAAACGTGAGCGTGAGCAAATCGAGATGTACAGGAGTCAGAATGAAGTCCGGAAATTTTACCAACGAGTAAAACACCAAACCGAAGGCTTTGGTGCAGGCACATGCTCCTCCTGTAGAGATGAAGAAGGATACCTGGTGACAGAAACAGACAGCGTGTTGAGGATCTGGAAGGAGCATTTCGAAAAGCTTCTAGTATCAAATAGTGGCGATACCCCAGAGCCAATAAGAGATGATGGTATAGCCTGTATACCACCTAGCCAAGATGTGGTCATAAAAGCAATTAATCGGCTCAAGAACAACAAAGCAGCAGGAGCCGATGGGTTACCGGCCGAACTATTCAAGACTGGTGGCCAGATGCTGGTCAGGAGCATGCACCAGCTGATTAGCACAATTTGGCTAGATGAATGCATGCCCAATGATTGGAACCTCAGCATCCTGTGTCCCGTGCACAAAAAAGGAGACAAGACGATATAAGTGCCAACTATAGAGGAATAAGTCTCCTTTACATCGCATATAAAGTGCTATCCAGTGTGCTGTGTGAACGATTGAAGCCAATGGTCAATGACATCATCGGACCATACCAATGCGGCTTAAGACCTGGCAAATCCACCATTGACCAGATTTTCACTCTGTGCCAAATCCTGGAAAAGACCCACGAAAAACACATCGACACATACCACCTATTAAAGTAGGAAAGGACCTATCGGAACACTGCAATACCGAACGAGGATTCAGACAAGGTGACAGTTTGTCGTGTGACCTTTTTAACATAATGCTGGAAAGGTCATACGAGAGGCAAAAGTGAACAGAAATGGCACTCTGTACACCAAACAACACATGTTACTCGCCTACGCCGATGACATCGATATAATGGGTCGAACATTGAGAGCGGTAACATCCACCTTTGAACAAATTGATAAGGAGTCTGCCAAAGTGGGTCTGGCAGTAAACGGCGAGAAGACCAAGCTGATGGTGTCAACGCGCAAGACATCCAGTAGACTCGGACCAACTGTGGAACTTGAGAACTACAGCTTCGAGGTAGTAAAAGACTTTATATACCTTTGTACCGCCATAAATAAAAGGAATGACATCAGTTTTGAAATTCGGAGAAGGATTGTGATGGCCAACCGATGCTACTATGGTCTAAGTAAGCAGTTTAAAAACAAGGCCACCTTCCGCCAGACCAAACTCACACTTTACAAGACGCTGATACTACCCGTGCTATTATATGGATCAGAAGCATGGGTACTTTCGCAAGCAGATTAGGCAGCTCTTGGGGTGTTTGAGAGAAAAATTCTCCGAAAGATCTACGGACCGATCTGCTTCGACGGTGAATATCGGCGTCGAATGAACCACGAGCTTTACAATTTATACGCGGAATCGACATAGTCAGTCGTATTGAGCTGCAGCGACTACGGTGGCTAGGCCATGTTGTGCGGATGAATGAAAATGCCCCAGCTCGAAATGCATATAAAAATGAGCCTACTGATGGTTCCCGTAGAAGGGGAAGGCCACGAATTAGATGGAAAGACCAAGTAGAAAACAACATCTTGGAACGTGGTCTTCCAAATTTTTGGACTTGCGCACAAGACCGACGCGCTTGGAAATCTTTTTTAAGCTCGGCTTATGGAACAACCATTCTGTAACAAGCCAGCTAAGTAAGTAAAGTAAGTAAGTTCGCTTAAAGTCGATACAAGAGAATTTCAGCAATAGTCCATTAGTTTTGGGTCTACATCTGGAATTATAAATAATAAAATAATAAATCTGAAATAGTCCTATATGTGTAATAGATTATAAGCGAATTTCACTGTATCCTACATCCGGAACCATTAAACATACCCTGACATGGTTTTGAGAAAAATATATACGTAACACTTACCCAAATTAATAAAAATAATAGTTGAGAGTATTATAAATGGTGCCGATTTGCCAAACAGGTCATACAGTATCCCACCGAAGGGATAGCCCAATAAGACACCCAAAGCAATACTACCCAATATAATACCCATTATTTTGGAACGACGATCTTCTTCGGGATAGTGCTAGATAAAAAATTGATTATTACAAAATAGGATGTTCCTTAAATCGTCTTACCTGAGCCACCAAACTCATGCCGCATACACCAATGCAAGCTGATCCAATACCCTGAACCGAACGGGCAATTAACAATGTACCATATGTTTCACCAACAGCAAAAACTACAACAAAATCGGAAATATTTTGTAACAAGTAAAAAAGTTGAGCTGGTTATTCAAAATACCTAAAATCAATCGGGACTTTAATATGGGAACATAGACTTGGTAAATTATTGATGGAAAATTTGAAGATTGGAATGAAGAGCCAAACTATCAAATTATAGCCATTTCGTATAAAAATTGTGCCCAAAATCACCAATTGCTGAATAATAGACGGTATCGTTACCCGAAACTTATCTCTCTTTGAAAACTGGAGGTAGGTCCTCCTCCAGCTAGTCCACACAGTGCCATCGATTAACACAGTGTCATTTTTGTAATTTTTTAAGCCCGTTGAGATGAAAAAACTGCAACCAACTTCAGACTGCTGTCATTTCTAAGCCACTCGTCCGACAGCTGTCCAGTGACAGCTCATTGCATTGTTTACAAGCGAACAAAGCATTTTGGTGAGAATTTTCCAGAAAAAAAGTGATTCGTGATGGAATTCAAGCGTCATAGGGTGATTTCTTTATATTTGGCTGGAAAACCCCAAATGGCTATCGTTAGAGCACTCCAGCATTTAAATGTGAACAAATCTTTTGTGTCTCGTAACATCGCTCGTTACCGTGATACTGGTAGCGTAGCCCGACGTCAAGGACGTGGGTGGAAGAAAACATCAACATTAGCAGAAATGATTCGAAAAGTTGTCCAGCAGTTTATAAACAAATAAACAAAAATAATCGTGTTTAATTGCCAAATAGGTCAGCTGAAAATGTGCACCTTCGGTTGACCACCGAAATTTAAGCCCCGGTCTTTTTTGATTAAGGTATAGAATTGCTGGTTGGACTAAGTGTACTGAAGTTTCAGGAGATTATATTGAAAAATACAAATATTTTATTGAAAAACTAACGATTCTCTTTCATTGATAGATTCCGAACGGCCCTCATTCATAACGGATTTAAACCGATATATCTACATATGAACCGATTAAAATGGTCATTTTCACACGTCATTATAGTCTTTTACAACATATTGACTCGATCGAACAAAAGAAGGGTAAGTAAGGTCGGCAATTTGCAGTAATACATGGTCCAATCGACGGACGGATAGATGGATATGCATTAAACGACCTCCACAGAATTCTTTGCATTAATCGAACTCCACAGAATTCTTTGCACATCCACAAAAGTAAACACGGGTATATCTCGTTTCATTTTGCATGTTAGGTGTAGGGTATAAAAGTGGAACCACCAGCTATTAGTGATAACACCTGCGGACGTCACTCAAGAACAACAGAGAATATTTCTGTTCGACGTATGTTTGCATCAAAACTTGAATCTTAACCATTATAAAGTTCGGTTGGGACCAACACTGTCTGTTGTGTCTTTTAAAAGCATGGAAATTATCCGAAATTCCTTGCATACATCATATTTACCCTTGAGGTTCATTTCCATGACAACAATCTCAAGTGTCGAACCTAGGGCTCCTACAACGCCAGAGTCATTGTTGAGAAGCTTATCTATCTATAATGTGTGACTCTTTGGTGTGCGTTATATTCTGGCGGGACCATTGAACTTACCAAAACAGCACTTTGTATTGTAAAATTCGGTTGTTAGTGGATCGATATTCCCTATCTTTCCCTTTATGTATGGAAAAAAAAATATTACAACATCTATATCGAAATTTACCACCGCTACTTAGCAAGACGAACGGTTGGATTCAAAATACCGAAAATTCGTCGAGACCTTTATATGACGGCAAAAAAAAGTGTTTCAGACACTTCTTTGGGAAAATATAGCTGAGTTCTTTAAAACCCAAGTAGGAACGGCAGCTATATGCACGTCATAAGCAAAACATGGGCCTAGATCGAACATTTGCGGCAAAGATATGCCAAATTATAGTCACTTCGTAGATAGAATGCAGCTAAGAACTTAAAAATATCGAAAATAGAACATGAACTTTATATGAGGTTTACTCATAGGAATTGACTGCAAATATATTTTCAAACCCAAAGTTTTTTCAAGAACCCAAAGTTCTACAATGTATTTAGAAATACCGAAAATGGGACGGATGATATGGGTCATATGGGTAAGTGAAAGAAAATAAAACTTAAACCAGTAAGGAAAGTAGTAAAGTCGGACGGAGCCGACTATATAATACCCTTCACCACTTTGGGTATATTCAACAGATGAATCCTAAAAGAAGTTGCATTTTAATGGACCAGTAAAATGAAATTGGATCCATAAACATGTCATTCTGCAACCGATACTAAATTTTTCATTTGGTCAGATACAAAAGCTATATCTAAATCTGCACCGATTTCAGGAAACTTAACACACATTATTCTAGACCTAATTCATTACGCTGTTCCAAATTTCGTGCAAATTGAAAGATATATAGGGACTTTGGTGCACCATTTACATTAAATCGGACGAAAATATATATGGGAGCTATATCTAAATCTGAACCAATTTTCAGGAAACTTAACACACATCATTCTACACCTAATTCATAGTAAGGACCATGAACCCCGTTATTACAGCCACTACTCCATATTTTTATTCTAATGACAAAATGCGCTATTAGTGTATACTACATACGATACGTCAAAAGCGGATAGTATATTTCTTTAGATTACAGTGACTGAAAAATGTTTATTTATTTTTAACTCAAATACTTACCCAACGAAGAGATGAGCAGGAAAAATGTACCCATAACTATCGGCAAACGATAACCATATTTTATAGAGAGATTTCCAACAATTGGATTAAATATCAATTGGACCAATGCCTTCATGGCCAACAGAACACCAATAGAACCATTTTCACTTTCCAACAACTCCTTATCAGCGCCATCGTTCTTCCGACCATCGTTGCCATTCTGCTGCTGCGAATGTCCCCTTAATCCTTTATCTTTGGCATTGCTGCTGCTGTTGCTGTTGTAACCCAATTTTAAAGAATTTCCACTGTTACTTTGTTGTTGGTCGGTCGTCAGCGACGATGTCGATAGCAAGAATTTTCCATTATCATCCGTTGCCAAATGTATTAGTGAAAAATTAACCATCGATTTGCCCGGTATCGGATGCTTTGTCATGACATGCTGAATTGGCTGTGAACTGTGTTGTTGTTGCTGCTGTTGATACTGTGCGTTGAAATAATATTGTGAAGGATGCTGTGCAGTTAACGGTTGTGTTTTTGCCACTGTTGCTGCAACTGTTCCATCCAGATTACGATAAGCCATATGTTTGGCTGTTGGCATTGTATCATCAATGACGACAGGACCACCACTGTTATTCTTCAACCCCATGTTGTACATGGGGGTCATGTTATTATTATTATTATGTGGGAATGGTAGTGATGATGATGACGACAACATCGACCCAGTTGTTTTTCCTGTTCCTGTCACTGGATATGCCGTTGGTGGCAGCAGCACCAGTGTTCTATTGTTTATGTTAGCAAGATAATCGGGCAAAATGGGCACTGCGTGTGTTAACCAAATCAATTTTATGGATGAACAAGAAAAACAACAACAACGACCAGAATGAATGAAAAACATCCACAAACACCCCAAAAGGGGTTAAGTGAGAGTACATGAAAAGAAAAGAGAAGAAAGGACGAAATGTAATAATGTACAACTTGTAGAATGTGAAAAAAACAACAACACCAATGTTAAGTACCAAAAATAGTAGTCATTAAATAAAAAAGCTACACCATATTTCTGATGATTACAAGATTACATTAAAAATAAAATTACAGAACCATGATACAGGACCTTATATGTATTTATTTTAAATACGAGCCAAAATATCCATGGGGAGTGTGGGAAGATTTTGGGGGTATGTATGGATGGCCTGGGAGAGTAGTTAAAATTCAGAAGTGGAAATTAAACATAGGTCATATGTTTTAGTATGGTGTGTTCAATTTTTTCTGGTGACCCTATAATTCATGGAGACAACAATCTTTTCAAAATTGACGCCTGCATTTGTTCTTCAAAAAAAATATTTCTTTGGAACTCCAACCACGAGTTGGTCTTTGAAAAAAAAAATAAATTTTGAAAACTCAGCACAGGAGATCGGGTGGCGTAGGGGATGATATATACCAAGCAACGTTCCTGATTGGCTTTAACATGGCGAAGCCCAGGCTTATCTTGGTCCCTCTTTCATCTCAATTGTGGACACTGACCTCCCCGCAATGTCACCTGGGGTAACTATTTTCATCTCCCGTTGAAATAGTGAGCTAATATGTGCCGCGAGTTCACCCATAAGAACTATAAAAAATGGGTTGAGGCGTCGGGTTAGTTGCCCACACTCGGAAAAAATTAATGCTACGAAAAAGCAACGAAAAAGAAAACCGAAATATTGACGAACCCCGCAAACATATAAAGGACCACGATCTGCTAATCTGTACTTGGAATATGTGCAAGTTGTACAGAACAGGCACAGTTTTCGCATTGGGCGGATATACTCAAGAAGCACATAGCCCATATTATTGCCTTATAGGAAATGCGATGAAAAGGGGACTGGCGTAAGTAAATCAGATGATTACGCCCTGTATTATAGCTGCCATGAAACGAGACATGAATACAGCTGCGGAGAATAAAAGACCTCGTCTCCAGATTCACGCCAGTAGATGAGCGAATTGCTATAATTTGCATAAAAGCGAAGTTCTTCCACATCAGTCTCATTTGCGTCCATACGGAAGACAAAGATGAACAGACCAAAGACATTTTTTATGAGCGCCTAAAAACAGCATATTACATATTACCGCTGCCCTGCTAGGAAATTTTAATGCAAAATTCGGAAGGGAAAATAAATAAAACTAATGACTTCAGTTTTGAAATTCGGAGATGGATAGTGTTGGCCAACAGATACTACTATGGTCTGAATAAGCAACTCAAAAACAAAGCCACCTCTCGCCTGACCAACATCACACTCTACAAAACGCTGATATTACCCGTGCTGTTATATGGATCTGAAGCATTACTACTTGCGCAAGCACATAAGGCAGCTCTTGGTGTGTTTGAAAGAAAAATTCTTCGAAAGATCTACGTGGCGATCTGAGTTGAATGTACCATGAGCTGTACCATCTATTCTCGGACATCGACATAGACAGACGGATCAAGCTGCAGCGACTACATTGGCTAGGCCATGTTGTGCTAATGGATGAGGATGCCCTAGCTTAAAAGGAATATAAAAGCGAGCCAAATTATGGTTCACTTTGAAGGGGAAGGCCACGAATTTGATGGAAAGATCAAGTTCACTGTTAATGAGGTGACTGATCCGCTTTAGCAACGTAGGACGATCACTTCTGAGTGCTATATCACAATTTGGAGTGTTTCTTCCTGAAAATGAAATCTTTGTAAAAATTCGAAAAGCGATAGAAGACAATCAATTGTTCGATATTTACAATGCGAGCTCTGACATATCACATGAAATTCTGGAATGCTAAGTCAACGAAATTCGTCAGCAGAAAAAGCTCAGGGAAAAGTATACAAATCGTGCTGGAGCATTTTTTGTTTTTGTACTATTATTATGCAAAATTGTGACATTTTGTGGGTGGGGGGTATCAGAGATGATGGACCTATATAACCTATAATTTCACTATATTTATATGTAGTATTAATATTAAGGTCAGTCATCTTTATATCACAAATGATTTACTATTAGCTTTATATAAGGTATTTTTTTATATACACTTGATACGGTAAAAATGTGCCTCATCGAAATATTGGGTTTCTTTGGACCAAATCCGTTTCAGAAAATTTGAAGTCAATTTACACATGTTCGTTCGTTCGTTCGTCCGTCCGTTGTCTGCCTGTCTGGCTGGTGTGCACGATAACTCTCGAAGGCAGCAACCGATTTCATCCAAACTTTCATCTTAATATTTCTTCCAAACCTAGTTTAAGGTCGAAGATAGGTCCACTCCTTCTGGCACAAAATGGTTAAAATTGTTCTAAAAATTAATTTTATAATAAAATGCAAACGGACTATCCGATTTTAACGAAACTTTGTACAACCTATTATCATTACCAAGCCTAGATCCATTAGGAAGATGGGACCCATTGTTCCACAATTGGTCAAAATTTTCGATATTTATAAGCCCAATGTTAGGCGAATGGAATGCCCGATTTGAACCAAACTTTGCACAACCCATTATCTTTACGAAGTCTAGATTAAGTCTGAAGATGCGACCCATTGTTCCACTCCTTCTGGTACCTCCCCCACAAATAGTCCAAACATCTTTGATAAAAATATTTTTCTTATATAAAGCTAATAATAAAATCTGTGTGTAATTCCGAAGACCTCCGCACACCATAGGCTGGGGGAATATATCTGTCGGCAACACCGACTGACACTTTTTTTACTTGTTTTTATTAAAGAGTTGATCATCTATGGGTAGGTGCCAAAAGAAGTCACCCTTTAGGTTTGGTAAAATGGATCAATGGATCTAATAGGTTACTCCTTTCGCTTTATTTTATAAGGTTTTAAAATGTTGACTCCTTTTACCTAATGTAGTGGGTACAAAAAGGAGTGGACCAATGTTTACCATATTCTGACTTGATCTGTGTTTCTTAAAATTATTATGAGAAAGGTTTGATGAAATTTGAATATTCGGTTAGATTTATAATATTTCAAAATGTTGCAACTTTTTGGGATAATTACTAGAAAAAGTGGATCGATATGTCCCATCTATACAAAATTATACAGGCTTAGTTAAAATATTAGGTTGTACAATGTTTGGTTCAAATCGCATGATATAACAAAATTGTCAGCTAAATTTTGACCATTTTGTAGAGCAAAGGAGTGGGCCAATATTCCGCTTCCCGAACTTATTAAGTTTGGAAGACACATTGTACTGAAATCGGTTACTCCCTTTGAAAGTTCCAGACAGACTGACGTATGAACATTTGTAATTCAACTCCAAATTTTCTGAAACGGATTTTTGTCCAAAGGCACTTGAGGTCTAAAACCAATATTTATACCCTACACATGTTGTCAGGGTATTATAGCTTTGTGCAGCCCCAAATGTTTGTAACGCCGCGAAATATTGGTCCTAGACCCACCTTTAAGTATACCGATCGTCATATCTCGACTAGCTGAGTCGATCTACACATGTGTGTCCGTCCGTCCGTCCGTCCGTCTGTCCATTATAATTTGTAAACACGATACAGGCCACAGTTATGGACCAATCTTCACGAAATTTTGCATGTAGGATGGGTTCTGGCCAATGAAGACCCCTATTGTTTTTGGAAAAGATCGGTTAATATTTAGGGGATGAAATGGACCAAATACTAAATTTTTGTCGGTTTTTCTGGTCGCTCCAGAGGCCGCAATTATGGCCCAAACACCGCGAATTTTTGCATGGAGGAGGGTATCGGGCCAGAGAATAAGCATGCATGTTTTGATAAAGATCGGTCAATATTTAGCTGGTCAAATGGACCCTGACTTTTGTGTGAAAAATGACAAAATTTGTATTCTATGGCATATATATTTACTCCTGAAGGACATAGACCCGAACAATTGATAGTATATCCAAGAGGAGTGGTTGACCTTAAAATTGATACCAATTATATTGTTTTATGTGCTCGGATGTGGGAGTTACACCTAAATATTTACAGGTATCCGTATATTATTTAGTAACCCATTATCACTCTGGAGAGCGGAACTATAGCGCTGATCGCTTTGAAATGTTCCATGAGGTTCCAGTTATGGTCAAGGACAACGCCTATAATTTTCGGTGATGATCAGATAATAATTTTGGAATGAAGTGGACCGAAAACTTAATTTTTATACCCTACACAACTATGTTGTCAGGGTATTATAGCTTTGTGCAGCCCCAAATGTTTGTAACACCGCGAAATATTGGTCCTAGACCCACCTTTAAGTATACCGATCGTCATATCTCGACTAGCTGAGTCGATCTAGACATGTGTGTCCGTCCGTCCGTCCGTCTGTCCATTATAATTTGTAAACACGATACAGGCCACAGTTTTGTCGGTTTTTCTAGTCGCTCCAGAGGCCGCAATTATGGCCCAAACACCCCGAATTTTTGCATGAAGAAGGGGGTCGGACCAAAGAATAAGCATGCCTGATTTGATAAAGATCGGTCAATATTTAGCGGGTCAAATGGACCCTGACTTTTGTGTGAAAAATTACAAAATCTTTATTCTGGGGCATATATACTTGCTCCTGAAGGACATATCCCCGAGAAGTTGATAATATATCCAAGAGGAGTTGTTGACCTTCAAATTAATACCAATTATATGGCTGTATGTACTCTGATGTGGGAGTTATCCGTAATTAGGTAAAGGTGACTATGTACCCAGTATTACTCTTACTCCATTAGAGGACGGAAATGTCGCGCTGATCACTTTGAAATTGTACATGAAGTTCCAATTATGGTCAAGGACGACGCCTATAGTTTTCGGTGAAGTTAAGATTTAATTCAAGGGGTGCAATGAACAGAAAACTTTAATTTTGTTAGATTTTCTAGTCGCTCTAGAGGCAATTATACCAGAACATCACATATTTCACAAGATGAAGGGGATCTGACCAACTACTTAGAGCGGCTGTTTAGATGATGATATTCCGAGGGTCAAATGAACAAAAACCTAAAGTGACCATTTTTTATTTTATGGCGTAAAAATTCACTTCAAGAAAAAACATTTTGGAAAATATGCCAGGGTTAGAAAGTGAAGTTGTTCATCTATAATCTGCAAAAAGGGTGCAAATATCACGAAATATTGCCCAGGCTCAGAATATAGAAACGCAGAAAGTTTGCTTTTCGTGGTAGTTGTGTAGGGTATCATATGGTCGGCCCCGTCCGACTATACTGCTCCGATCACTGGTTTTATTATGCTCATTTTTACAGTAGCAAAGTGTCATTAGGCTGATGGTATAAAAATTGAACATATACCAAAAACTCCATTTTATTACCCTATGGATCGAACAAAAGTAGCATCAAACGTAGAATATGAACCGACTTCAATATATCTATATATTACAATTCCGAAGACCTCTGCGAACCATAGGTTGAGTGTATATATCTGTCGGCGCCTGACACCGACAGACACGTTTTTACTTATTTACGTATATTAAGTTTTGTAGATATCGTTTGCGATATTTTTATATGTATGTTTTCGACTGATTTATACAGTTTTTATAATATTTTACATAGAGTACCAAATAGAACCTAGAAGATTCTGCATTTTAACAGCAGTCTTTTAAATCGGTCTGCATTTATAAATGGTACACCACCAAACTTTGAATAAATTGCCGAATGACATGAATAATCGGTATTGCATTCATTTCAAATAAAAATTACAAGTTTATAAAATATTGACCCTTTGTAGGGGAGCTACCAGATGGTCCGAAGGGTCCCACCTTCGGACTTGATCAATGCCTGGTAAATATATTTGGTTGTGCAAATTTTGGTTCAAATCGGACGTTCCATTCGCCTAATTTTGCAAATATTGAAATTTTTTGCCATTTGTGAGGGAGGTACCAGAAGAAGTGGATCAATGGGTCCCATCATCAGACTTTATCTAGGTTTGATAAAGATAATCGGTTGTACGATGTTTGGTTGAAATCGAATAGTCCGTTCGCATGATATAATAAAAAATATTTTTAGCACAATTTTCACCATTTTGTGGGGGAGGTACCAGAAGGAGTGGACCGATATTCTCCATCTTCAAACATGAACTAAGTTTGGAAGAAGCATTACGATGTGCAAAGTTTGGATGAAAACGGTTACTTCCTTCGAGAGTTATCGTGCGCACCAACGACCAGACAGACGGACGGACGGACATTTGTAAATCGACTCCAAATTGTCTGAAACGGATTTGGTTTGTAGAAACATGGGGTCTAAAAGCAATATTTCGATGAGGCACATTTTCCCGCAGCAAAATCTTTATAGCCTCTTTAGCTATTAGAATCAGGATATAATTCAATACGCTGTAAAAATTGTAAAAATGTTGATTGCACCATTTACATGAAATCGGCCAAAAATATTTATGGAAGGTATATCTAAATCTGAATCGATTTTATACAATTTTAATGGTGTTGTTGAGAAAAATACAAACCCGACAGATGGGTAGACATGCACAAATCGATTCACAAAATTATTGTATGTACAATTAAAAAAAAACTTTGGGTCCATCTTCTTCCATTTGAATGTAAAATACCATTTGAACAGCCTTTGTACAAAATTTCAATTTTTTTTTCATTTCTTAATTAAGCTATTAACTATATTTTCTTAACTGTAACATTTTTGTTTTTTTTTTTTGTTTTTTGTATTTCTAGAAATAAGAGAGAATAAAATTCTACACCAAACAAATCTTTACCAATAACTGTTAGCAGAACATTATCCAATAGTAGGGCCAAATAAACAATCACCGCAATCATGCTGCGATTTGATGTGCCATAATTTGGACTTGAGGTGCGGCGTTGATTGTAGGTCGGATTAAGTGTTGAGGCCTGGTGAGATTCAGTAGTATCCATATTTTTGATATTTTCACCCGGTTCAGTCATTTTTATTCGTCGTCTTCTTCTTCTTACTAACTATTAAAAGTTTCACTATAAATTAATTAAAATGTTTAAACTATGTTTTCCTTTAATTAATTCTTTTTTTAAATCAATTTGTGAACATATGCCACTCCACTTTTATATTCAAATATACGCACGCACACACACACAGCCACAAACGAATATATAACATACGGTTACACACTTGCACACTTAATGTAAGCATATGTGAACACTTGTTGCTGACAATGACGATGCTGCTAATGAACAGCCTAAAAATATGCTTTAAATATAAACCACCATTAATAGAAATCTGTTAACTTTTTTTTGTGTGTTTATTTAACCACTATACTTGAGTTGTTTTTTAATTTTTTGTTTATTCTCTTGTTGTATCCGCAAAGAATGTTAAGAGCGCGAAATTCAACAGGTGTTAACGCCACGAAGCCTGAGGCTGTATTGAAACGTATCAATATGTCGATACTTTATTTTATATGGCTTAAGTTTTTGTTTTCAACTAGCTGACTGAATCGATGGCTGGCAGACTGACTGACTGACATGTACGACAGGCGCAAAGCCAACAAGCCTTTTTTTAATGTTATATTATTCGATGTTAAAGTTTTCATTGTATGCATGTGTGTGTGTGTTCGTCTGTACGGGTGTGTGTGCATGTGTTTGTGGAGTCTGTAAGATTTAAAACTGTTCTGTTCGGTGTCATGTCAACAAAAAGTTCTGATATTGTGTGTACGTGAGTGTGTGTTTGTATCATTTAATTTTAATAGTATCAGAGACGTACTTGATTTTATTTAAAAATTAAGGCTGAGGAGAGTACTCGATTATTCAAATTAAATTTACAAGGTTATAAAATATTGACCCTCAAGAATTACAAAGCCGATATTATTGCATTACAGGAAATGCGATGGAAAGGGACAGGCGTAAGTAAATCAGACGATTACGCCCTTAATTATAGCTGCCATGAAACCATACATGAATTTGGCTGCGGATTTATAGTTAACAGAAGATTAAAATACCTCGTCTACAGATTCACTCCAGTAGATGAGCGAATTGCTAAAATCTAAAATCGAAGTTCTTCTACATCAGTCTTATCTGCGCCCATGCTCCGACAGAAGACAAAGGTGAGCAGGCCAAAGACATATTTTACGAGCGCCTGGAAACAGTATATGCCGCTGCCCTGGCCATGACATTAAAATTCTGCTAGGAGATTTTAATACAAAAATTGGAATGCAAAAAAACATGGTAGTTAGCAGCACCAGATTCAAGCATCTCGATATACACAAGGCTACGTGGATTTCACCTGACGAAGCAACGAGAAATCAAATTGATCATACTGTGATATGCGGAAGGTATTCATCCAGTGTATTAGACGTTCGATCGATCCGAGGGGCGAATATCGATTCGGACCACTACCTTGTAGCAGACAATGGTACGATCAGGATTGTCGTAATGCAACTGATGTGAAAAACGAATTAACGGCAGAAAAGGGGGAGAGGAGAAACGTATTTTCAGAAAAAAGAAGAAAGAACAAGAAAAACGTGAGCGTTAGCAAATCGCGATGTACAGGGGTCAGAATGAAGTCCGGAAATTTTACCAACGAGTAAAACACCAAACCGAAGACTTTGGTACAGGCAAATCCTCCTGTAGAGATGAAGAAGGAAACCTGGTGACAGACAGCGTGTTGAGGATCTGGAAGGAGCATTTTGAAAAGCTATCAAATATTGGAGGTGAGGAAAATACCCAGAACCAAAAAGAGATGATGGTATAGAGTATATACCACCTAGTCAAGATGAGATCAGAATAGCAATCAATTGGCTGAATAGTAATAAAGCAGCAGGAGCCGATGGGATACCAGCCGAACTATTCAAGACTGGTGGTCGGGAACATGCACCAGCTGATTAGTACAATCTGTCTAAAGGAATAAATGTCCAATAATTGGAATCTCAGCATCCTGTGTCCCGTGCACAAAAAGGAGACAAGACGATATATGCCAACTATAGAGGAATAAGTCTCCTTCACATTGCATATATAGTGATATCCAGCGTGCTGTGTGAGCGACTGAAACAAATAGTCAATGACATTATTAGACCATACTAACGCGGCTTCAGGCCTGAAAATCCACCAATGGCCAAATTTTCACTTTGCGCAAGATCCTGGAAAACCCCACGAAAAATTCGTCGCTTATAAAGCCGCATTCGACAGCCCTATCCGTTCAGATGTATTTAAAACCCTTAAGATTGAAACCCCAATTAGAACCTACGACTCTTCTACAAAAAGACCCGCATCTATCGCCCTTGTAAACCCTTTGCTGTATGTGGTCTCTCCATTTATGTTTCTTGTCTAGGATTACTCCCAGATACTTAACTTGATTTGATATGGCTATCAATTTGTTTTGGAAGACGGATCTTTATACTGGTCTATTTTTGTCTTCCTGATGAAAAGACATATCTCCGTTTTTTACGGATTTACGTTTGACCAAATTGTAAGCAATGTTTAGCACTATTTCAGCCTTTACGTACGTTAGAACTCTTAGGTTTAATAACGTGGTGATCTTTTTTATCCTCTACGTTCTATTCCCACATGTCGAACCCTCTACATGGACGCATAATTGTAAAAATAAACAATCTACTTGGGCTTGGACTTGCTCAAAAGACATTACTTAACCTATCGTCTGGTGATTGGGAGTGATTTTTTTCACTTGAAGCGGTTGGAGTTGGAAGGTAGCTTTTCGAGGAAAAATATCTTTTAACTCGCAATCTTTCTTTTAACTTTAATACCCAAATAAATATGTTTTTGGTATAATCATTTCCATTTTTAATCCTCTAACCTTTAACACCACCTAACATATACGCAATCGCAGTACGTATACGTCGCCACGTATACGTCACAATGGCCAACGCTTCGATAGTACTCAATATTAACATACGCCACTGTTAACTTGGATTTGTGAAAAATGTTGTACTCTTTTGTGTGTGTGTGTGTGTGTGTGTATGCCTGTATAGTCGACTGCTTCAATGCACTTATAAAATTGTATCTGTGTGTATACACGGAGTACCAGCCGAAAGTGGCAAACTTCAAAATGAATTTCTTTCGCAAATATCTAGAAAATATTACGAATTTAATTATCGTAAAATTCAAAATCGATTTGGCGGTATTATTTCGTTTAAAATCTCTGTAGAGCTCGCAATATTTAAGAATCCACATTTGACACAGGCCTCCTATGATGTTTGGTATTGAAAACTGGATATAATTTTAAGAATTTTAATTAGAAAGGATCGTACAAGAGGTGGAGGATTAGCATTCCTATTGCACCATTCTGTCCAGTACTGACCTATCTTGTCTCACTAGAGTCTAGCTCAAGCGGTCAAGTGCGGTACCACCGAGGTAGAGGTGTTTAATGTTTACATTCCGTCGTTAAATAGATGTGCACCGCGTTATTTGCCTGACTTTAGCCATCTTTTGGAAGGCAATAACCGCCTGGTGCTAGGGGATTTCAATGCACTCATGAGTTATGGCATTCCGTCCTAGGCAATGACCCATGGCGCTGACTGAGCAAATTGCTAGCTCAACGTTTTGCACGGTGAATGAGGACCAGGATAAGGGGAGACTGTCAAAGCTCACTGGACATTTCCACCGTGTCTCCAGCTCTGACGTGTCTTGGCAACCCGTCATATCATTGGGATCAGATCACCTCCCTATTATTATATCCATCAACAGACCATCCAACTTTATATATTCTGAACGCCGTAATTTCCTTAATCAGGGGAAAGCCAGTTGGCAAAAGTTCAGGAATTTCACCAATCATCGCTTCAGAGAATTGCCCAATCCTTCTGATGCTCGGGTAGCAGAAAGGAATTTCCGGGACTTCATCACCTACGGGTCGTATACCCGAACTAAGACCAAACTTCCCAGCAGAGGCAGCGGGATTAGCGAATGAGCATGATCGCCGTACTAACTCTACTAACTGACGTTGGAGGTGGACAGGTTAGTCGGCGAGCACAAGCGGAAAAAGTGACTAGAACATCTGAAGTGTTGAAACATTAGTACCGGAGTGAGTAAATTGTGGGCAACGGTTAAGTCGCTCTCGAACCCTGGAAGGAAGGATGGTCGGACGTCTGTCTCATTTAACGGCGTTGAGGTGATAGATCCGAAGATGTGCGCGTGTTATTTCATCCGGCAGTTTATAGAGCACCCCGAGAGTGACCGGGCGAAGAGAATAGTATTGCACCGTATACGCTCTCTTTAAGTGTAAGAGAAACCACCTCAATTTACGTTGGAGGATGTTGCAAGGGTCAACGGAAACGTGAAATCATCCAAGGCGCTTGAGCCAGATGTAGAGTACCTTACTAAAGTCTTCAACTTGTCGATAGCCACCCAAATTGTTCTCGATGTCTGGACAATGGGCAGGGTGATCCCGCTACTGAAGCCAAGGATACCATCAAAAGTGGGTCATACAGGCCGATCTCACTTTTCTCGCCAGTAGCTAAGACACTTGAAGCTTTACTACATTAGATCGATCATTAGATAGATCCGAAGATGTGCGCGTGTTATTTCATCCGGCAGTTTATAGAGCACCCCGAGAGTGACCGGGCGAAGAGAATAGTATTGCACCGTATACGCTCTCTTTAAGTGTAAGAGAAACCACCTCAATTTACGTTGGAGGATGTTGCAAGGGTCAACGGAAACGTGAAATCATCCAAGGCGCTTGAGCCAGATGTAGAGTACCTTACTAAAGTCTTCAACTTGTCGATAGCCACCCAAATTGTTCTCGATGTCTGGACAATGGGCAGGGTGATCCCGCTACTGAAGCCAAGGATACCATCAAAAGTGGGTCATACAGGCCGATCTCACTTTTCTCGCCAGTAGCTAAGACACTTGAAGCTTTACTACATTCGCGAATGCTGGGAGATCATCAACATGGATTCCGGAAGCAGCATAGTACAACAACAGCTTTGCACGCGATTTCCACACACATAGCGGAAGGACTCAACCAGAACAGGTCGTGAAACAGGACAGTCATGGTGGCGCTGGACTATCAAAGGTATTTTATACCTTCAGTCACGCCAAGCTATTCGAGTCGTACGTGGAATTCAGAGACAGGAAATCGAAGGCCCGTAGAGTTAAACAGGGAGTTCGCCAAGGAGGGGTGATATCTCTGGAACTGTTTAAACTCTACCTCTCTGGAATTCCACGCCCACTGGGCGGCATAAAGATCGTAACATATGCAGATGATTGTACGATTATGGCATCATGACCTAAAATTTATGCCATTTGCGAGATGCTGAACCACTATCTTGTGGATATTGGAGTCTTTTTCCGGTCGAGGAATATGGAAATATCCACCACTAAGTCAACGGCCACACTGTTTACCATATGTACAGCGGAGATACGGCAATCTTTGAATGTGCAGGTCGAGCGGTCCACAATTCCGACCACCAATTACCCCAATGTTCTAGGGGTCACATTCGATAGTCTTTATAAGTCGTCCGCGCATGCCACAGCTATGTACGATAAAATCAGGAGCAGAAACAAGGTTCTCAAGTCGCTAGCCGGCAGCACTTGGGGAGCTGACAAAGAAACCTTGTTAACGACATACACAGCAATAGGCCGGTCTGTGGTAAACTATGCGGTGCCAGTGTGGTCCGTTAACGTCAGTGCAACGCAGTGGAAAAGTCCTCAATCCTGCCAGAATACCGCCCTGAGGACTGCAACAGGGTGTCTCCTCATGACTTCAACGGACCACTTACATGAGGAGACGACGATCCTTCCTGTGCATCAACACAACAAGATGTTGTCGATGCAATGCCTGCTAGGGTGTTATAGGAGTAGCCATCCAAATCGTTACCTAATGGATAGACACCCACCACCTAGGCATGTCAGGAAGGATCTTCATGATCTGAAGGAAGAGAAAGGTCCAAAGGTACAAAAGGGAGCCTCTAGATCAACAGGCCTATCAAGAAAGATTGCATTGTATTCACACGGATGCAGTTGAGGAAGCAATTCGAGAATAACGTGTGAATACTATCCTCGGAGATCACCCGCCTACGATAGCTGCAGAAGAGCAGCAGCTACCTCGACAAACTAGAGTGGTCTTGGCAAAGTTATGATCAGGATGGTGTAGCCGCCTCATTTCATATTGGGCACGAATTGATGGAGAGGTGGTAATGGACCACATGACACGAGGAGCCAAAACCACTCACCTAACCCCATCTTATCTTTGGACTCAACCGCAGAACCAAATTAAGGGGAATAAGAAGAAATACACAGCAGTACAAACTGCTACAACAACCAACATTTATAAATATTGGTCCACTTTTCAGGATAATTACCTCCGTATAACTCTACTACTGATTCTAGATATGTTTATGTTCCTGGCAAGTCACGTTATACATATATGAATATAATATAAATTTAAACATATTGTAGTTTTGAAGTAGAAAACACGACTTCTTTTTGTGGAGGTAATTTAATGAACAACCTATGTTTAGATATTGCGAACTGTTTTAAGTTGTATTTATTTATGTTTTGTTGTGTTTCAGTTGTCCCTAAAATTTTTCCATTGTTTTTCATCCATGATTCATAAAGAAAACACTTCGATTTAAGGTTCGTTTTGCATACTTATTTGTTGTTATTTTTTATTTTATTTTTTAAAGTATTGTATTTTTATATTCTTTGTAGTCTTATAATGTCTGCTTAATAACTTTTTCTTTCACTCTCTCTACATTTTTTGTTTTATCTTTTTTATATGGAATATTTTAAAAATTGCTATTATTATGTTCGAAAGGAAAATAAACGGTAAACATGCATTAAAGACTTCTCACATGAGAAATACCTAATGACAGCCTTAAATTATAAATGAAAAAAAAATAAAGAAAGTAAAAGAAAATCAAACAAAAAAACACACGCCAGAAAATCTCGTAAATTATTTCTTCACTATTATAGCCATGATAAATACCGTCTAATCTTAGTTGTAGCAAATGCTAAAATATTGCGTAGACTTGTCATAAAACGATGACACCACCAGTTGTAGCTGTATTTCAAAGAAATTCATGTTGTCGAAGAGACAGCCAATTTCTTCAAATGCTCCATGAACAGCTGTAGAGATACGTCGTCTGTGAGTACGGGAGCACCGCCATCCTATGAAATGAAGAAAAAAATGGAAACAAAATTGGTTAGAAAAATTTAATACAGGAAGCTTGATTATATATAAAAGCATATTTTGTTATCTTTAGTTGAACATTGTTTTTGAATGCAGCCACTATGACTATTTAAGGTCATCATGTTTTAACTGATAAGATAACAAGGGACATAATAATTTATAAACAAGCAACCCAACCAACACCATTTATATTGAAATATAACCTTCACCAAAAAATAAAAAAAGAGTTGCCTAATAAGGGTCATTGCATTGGCTCTTATTTTATTTTCAATAACAAAACAAAATGTCAGTTTAAATACCATTGATTGGCCAATTGTCGGCTGTTGTTTGTTTTCAATCAGGGTCATTATATGCAATTTACAAACATGATGTGGGAGGACAGACAACACAGGATACATTTAAAAGTCATTCATTATTTTTTTTTTAATTAAGAACAAAATAAAAAAATGTTAGAAAATTCAACAACAAAAATAAAAGATTACAAACAAAAAATAAAAATATTTGTTTTTGGTGGACACACTTACCTGGCCATAGGCATACATATTATTATGTGTCTGTGAGGGATTGACTTTCGACAGCAAGAAACGAGCCTGAGAGCCACCATGCTCGGTGTCAATATAACGTGGCATTGGGAAACGTGTTTGCAATATCTCCTGGGCATCATCAACTGGTGCCTGCAACAGCTGTTTGAAATTCTCATATTCTGGCATATCTTGATATTTAAGAGCACGCCACTGGGCAATGGTTTCACCATGATATATCAAAATTTGGAAGAATGTATCCATCAATAATATACGATCTGGTTGAATCGAAGATGTATCAAGTAGTACAGGTTCGGGTGGTCCATTAAAGGAATACGAATACAAGATTGGTTGTATCATAATCAATGATTGTGTTAAATCTTCACGCATTAGCATGTGTCTATAGAATGTGGTCTCATCGGGTGAATTATTGAAAACTTGTAAGAATTGTGAACGACGCAAGTGATACATAAATTGTGGGAATAGAGAGAAGTTTTGTGCCAAACGGAAACTGTTGGGATCATCCTTGCTATATTCACCGAATTTTTGGCACTGCAAAGAGGAAGAAGGAATAAATTAAATAAATGTAGCATAAAAATTTATAGGTTTCAAACATACCAAACGAATGAGCTGCCTGTCAACCCATCTTAAAATATCAGGACCTTCATCGGTTTCAGCACGATATACCACCATACGTGCCATTATGACAGCAGCGGCTTCTTGATCAAAACCTGCACTTATGTGATGGATATTCGAGGTGGCATCGGCCCAGCTAAAAAAAGAGAAGGAAAATTAATTATTAAAAAATAATAAATTAATTGTATCACGAAAATTTCAAAGCGAAAAAACATGCAAAGATACTGGATTACGAAAGTAAAATGTTTAGAAATAACCCCAAAAAATACCCTAAAAATTAGAGAAATCATTTCTTCTGAACAATTCTAAGCTTTTACACTTGTAAAAACCGAAGCATGGCTCCTGAAATAGACCTTGAAAACTACCCTAAAAACATTCAGAAAAACTATGTTGACAGACCATATGACATGCCATTCACAAAATATTCTGCAAATCCAGAGGATTGATGGTATTTTTGAGAAGGTATGATAAATTCTTAAAAACATTTTTTTAAAAATTCTTGTAATATCCACACCTATTATAGCTCTTTGCAAGCTGTACTACATTCAACTCTATGATAACGAACCAATATTCGAAATATATAAACAAAACTAAAAATCTTTACTCACTTTCTAGCCAATGTCGTTACACGTATACGCCTCTGGCCGCTGGGATGTTGATATTGTGTTATAAATTGTATACAGCCACGTCCGCCCTGTGGTATTGGTGCTGCATGCTGATTAACCACCTCAAAGAAGAATGCCATTGTTGAGCTTGGATTTAACGTACACAATTTCCATTGTACCGTCTGACCCATACCAATTTCAACATCCGACACCGATGGGCTCTTCACATTCAATGACACACACGAACCAATACCACCAGATATTTTCAATTCACGTGAACATTTCACCTCCAGTGTACCATTGAATGCCATTTTCAAATCGGATCGTGCATCCCGGGCAAAGACCCGCTGGAACGTTTGCTTGAACAATGACGAATTGAATGAATCACCCATAACCATATGACCACCGGTAGAATTGCAGCATTGTTTCATTTCCATTAGACCAGTTTGATCCAAAGCACACGAATAAATATCAATACAGTGGCCATTCGTGGCTGCACGAAGAGCCAACACATCGTAGTGTTTGATGGCTTTTTTCATGAATTTAACATTGTCCTTGTGAATGTCGTGATGTGAACGAATGGGATGTTTCAATTCATCATCGACCACCTGGCCGGGGCCCTGAGAGCAAGGTCCACCAACAAAGGCCATAATGCGGGCTCCAGTATTTGGATAGGTACATTCCAGCAAGCCCACAGCTATGGCCAAGGCAGCTCCGGTTGAACGAAGATAGCGCTTGCCCTGAGGCACTGGCCAAGGATCACGTTGCAGTTCACTCAACAAATCGCCAAGGGCAATGTCACACTTCGAAATAGGCTGCAAGAAGCGATTGGCTGGTGGTACGGCGGCATGTTGGCCGGGAGCACCAGGCATACGTTGTTGCTGACCTGGCATTGGCTGGCCGCCAGGGCCAACAGGGGCACCACCAGGGGCACCTCCTGCTGCCGCGCGACCAATTCCCAACATTTCTTGAACCTGTTTCGCAGTTAAATCCTTGGTACCGCGGAATACATAACTCTTCGAGCAACCCTCAGCTCCAAGCTCATGCACTTGTATCATTTTACCAAAAGTAATGAGACCCACCAAGGCATTAGGGGGTAACAAGCTCAGCGACATTTGTAGCGAATCCTTCAAGGCATCCAACTCCTCTTCATCCATACAGGTATCAACCAAAAACAAGAAAACTGGTGGCATACATGGTGCCCTTGTAATGGTATATTCGATGGTGCTAAAGCCAGGAATTAATTCGGCTGGTTGATGTTGCTCAGATATGGCGGCATATTGGGGTGGGAACTAAACAAAAAATCTCCAAATGAAATCATTCTCATTTATACAATTTGCTTCAAAAACTTACCGGATTTCTTTGGAAACAGAAATTGCAAACCCACAACTTGGCCCGATAATCCACTTGACACAATGGATTCAAAATGGCTCTACAATTGGCACGAGTGCACAGCACTGGTTCATATTGAATGGGTGGCAAGTCGGGACGTTCTTTCAGTGGTTGATACAAACATGCCAAGGGAACAACCAAACGGCTGGCATCTATACGGCTAGATGGCCAAACGTTCCACGTCAGACGAACACCGTCACGATCTTCGTTTTGTTGTATAAACTCCTCATAGGTCGTCATCTTGTATATGTTTCAGATCACTTGGATCACTCTTATACAATTTAGCGTTAATTAATTATTTCTTTTTCTACTTTTTTACATAAAACAAAATTCCTGATAAACCGAGTGATCCAATTAGAAATATTTTTTTGTTCACAGCAAAAAATTTTCTCTGTGGCACAGCAGGGCCACGTCACTTAATTTGACAGATCACAGAAAAACGATAGCTCTTGAGAGTAAATGCAAATCACTGTGAAGTGATAGCAGATGGGGTGTTGTACATATTTTGCAATAAAAGAAAATGAAAGATATATGTCAAGGATTGATAAAGTACAATATTAATTAATTTATTTTTTATAATACTGTTCAATATATTAGGTCTGGGAAAAAGAAATCCGGCCTACCTGTGCGAGGTGCATCTTTAACACAAAAATTCTGGAACAGAATCTACGGAACCATAAACACCATTTATAATTTTAGTCGCTGTTGCCTTTGTCAAAGCAAAACTGTAAAATATACCGTATTTTCTCTTGGTTCACTTCTTAAATAATATGAAATAAATTAAATTAAATGCACCAAGCAAAAGAGAGCAAAATATTTTTTCTACGAAATGTCACCCTTCCAACGAACATAAATCTGAAATTGTTTGATCGATACTTTACGAGAAATCTATCAGTACAGCCATCTGCCGAAAAATAATGTATTTCTTTTTCCCCAGCCTAATATATATATATAGAGTCGAGTACGGCCCAGTAGGGACCAAGCTAATTAGTTCGTTGTAGAAGAAGTTCCTTATATCCGAGGTAATTGAAAGCATAACCGAATTAAAATATATGAAAACTGAATGTTGGGACCTAATAAATAGTTCGTTATAAAAAGAGTTCATTATATCCGTAGTTCGCTATAAGAGTAAACGTTTGTATGAAAAATATGTCTAAAAACTTCGAAACTTCGGAACCGGTGTTCGTTATAAGCGTATTCGACTGTATACCTTAATTTTTGGTCTGTTCCCGTACTGAAAGAATCTACTAGTTTTTACTATTTTTGTCGATATCATAAAGGAAAATTCGTTATCGTAGAAAAAAATAGTAGATTCTTGCAGTACGGGAACAGACCATTTATTTTTATTTCTGACTTGAAGTTAAGTACACACTTTTGACCCTGGTAGAATTATTCAAAGTATAGCAACTTATAAATTACAATTGTTCATATTGTGTTATGTCGTATACAAAATGTGATGATTTAATAAATATAAATAACATATTCGAAAATTAATTTACTTAAAGACGAATTTTACAGCATTGATAAGAAGAAATTTGTGATTTTTGAATGAACCTATATCTATATAATATTCCCAACTCAATTTTGGAAAGAGAACCTGATGACATTCCAATAATTTTTCGAGATTTTGTTAAAATTTTAGAAATACGTCAAATGGACAGAACAAATTTTTTTTCGATTTTAGATTTTACATTATACTCCACAAGGTAGAGATGTAATTTCTCTTTGTTGATAAAACATACCCTACCTTGTATAATTGTACCATGCTATGTACCATTATAGCTATTTAATAAACTGGATCCATATATTGGCCTCTTCAAAGAAATGTGTTATCGGGAATTTAATATTTTTTCTTTCATTCATGTGTTGAAAATGTCAAATAAATACAACCACTTGTTATGTATTATTTTTATATTTTTATACCTGGTATTATTGTACCCATGGCACAATAAATAGGTAGTCCATTTAGCACAGTTGATGACATCATTAACTGTCAATGTGCATAATTTCTATTTGAATTTGATGTGCAATGTTGCCAAACATGTGAAATATTATATGGACAAATTTGACAGATGGTCGAGATAAAAACAAATAAAAACAAAAAAAAATTGTACCAGGCTATGAAGCTAATTATGAGAAAAATTACCACTGATGGTGTGTACCTGGCTTTATTTAAGCTTGTTTCCATACACTGTGCAACATCGAACAGTGATTGATTATCAACAAAAACGATTCTCGTAATATATCGATATTTACCACTCATCAAACAAACAAAAAAAACATGTTATCGTTCGGCTCTGTCAAAATACGATTGTTTTCCAATTCGATAGTTTATCGATATTTTTCTAAGATGGCGACGAAAAAAACGCGTCTTGTGTGTGAATGTAATCATAACAAATTGTGATTTTTATTAATAAATGTGTTTAAAAGCGCCTAAGAATTGTTTAAAAACATTAACAAATACAAAGTGCATGAAATACATATGAAATTGTGTATGAAAAACAAATAAAAATGGCAACAAATATGTATCGTGTCGGAGGTGAGAATGATGAATGTGAAGAGAAAAAAATTTTCCATTTTTTTCGCTTTATCTTTTGCATTGGTTTTCGTTGTGTCGGTCGGTTTGCGTATTGTTGCTACTTCTGCTGCTACTGCTGATGCCAGCCAACAAGCCAGCCTGCTCTGTGTGTTCTGTTGAATTGCTGGCAATCAATGGTGTTTAATGATGATGATGATGCTCGCTATGTTCTGCTGGCGCGCTCAAAGTGGCTTTCTCTGATCGCTCAACAAAAAAATGGGGGAAATGTGGACTCCAATTGACGACGCTCAATCAAAATGTAACACACATAAACGTGTTCATATTTAAGCAAGCTTATCCACACCATACACAAAACCTACATCCCCCACCACTTTTTCCGGTCGATTAAGCCAAGTGCCAAGTAGTAGAATATATATTAAACAAAATGATAAAAGAAACAAAAAAAGAAAATTATAAACAAACTATGAAGTGTCACACAGCAATAATTAGCAAGCCCTACAAAAGATAGAACAAAAAACATAAGGTGTTTATGTGTGTGATTTATGCCGGAATTTATGGGGCAGTTATGAAAAAAATGTATTTATCATGACAATTTATTTGGTGACTTTTTAGTTTTGTGCTATGGAGATTGGGATACGTTACTGACATTTTTTGCCTATTTCCGCGTACCACTGTGTATTTAGTATTGCAGCTCTTTGCAACCCCCAACCCCCCAACAAAAATGTAATGTAACATAATGGTGTCTAGTGGGTTCATCTCGCTGATTTTCAATGACTGATGCTGCAATGCATTTTTGGGTTTTCAATTCCAGTGCCTATTACCTATGTGTGACTGTGTGTGTGTCTCTCGGTGTATACATATGTATATGCTAAAAAAGCAATACTACGTACCAAATATCAGATACAAGCGAAGCAAGACAAGACGAATTTTGGCCATAGTGTGTGGAGTATTGACTTGCCTTGTATAGTTGATTGTGTGTGTACCAGCCAGCCATACGGTGTGTGTGCTATGATGTGCTAATATTTGAACCATTTTTTAGTTAACATTTTGTGGCTTAAAAATGTGACCATTCAATTTGTAACTATTATCGCTAAAATGATAATTTTTTTATTATTCAAAAAATATACTTAAGAAATGTTGGCAATTCCTTAATACTGAAACTTAAATATGTAATGTTTGTTTTAAAAGTTCCTGTGAACATACACACAAAACAAATAGATTTCTGATAAGATAGTTTAGCCTACCACAGGTGGATAATGCCAAAATATTGTTGTTCAATTCCATGAATTGAGCACTTTGAAGCGGTTTTTATTAAAATATGATAGTTGGCGTCGTACGATGGAAGTGATAACAGTGTTGTCAAACTAAACGAAAACATAAGTCCATATGTTATCAGAACAAAAATATTGTGAAATAAATAGATTGTAAATATTTTGGACCCCCCAAATGACGATTTGAACTTTCGTCCAAAGGTTTCATTCAATGTTTGACGTCCAAATTGCAAACAAAGTTCGCACAATGTTATCTTGTATGACGAGATTTATTATAATTTTTAATGGAGGCTGATTCGATTAACAATATTAAGGCCATTCGGAACAGTCCATAGGAACAGTTTTTTTTCTACTTCTACTGTAAAGTCTAAAAAGGGAACATACATGTGTAGCTAATTATAGATCAATGAAAAAAACGAAACAGCTTTATTTTAGTTTAATAAAAACGATCGGTTTAGGTCACGTTTATGGCCATCCATCTTTACTATATGTAGCAATAGAGGGTCTGATCACAAGAACATACACTAACCAGAAAAAGTATTTGTACAGATTCAACTTAACATTTCAGAATCAGCCTTAAATGTTCAAAGTTTTTTTACAATGATTTGTTGAGGGTAGATTTTTCGTTTGGTGGGCAAATTCAATTAATAGTGAGTATTATATAGTAGCCCCAACACTACATTTAGCGCCGTGTGCTTGGTATCATTATCCTGTTGGAAGCAATAGTATTGTCCTAAGTTCAGTTGCTGTGCACTTTGCTTTAAATTATTCTTTAAAATATTTAAATAGCCTTACTGATCCATTATGCATCCTTTTAAAATTAATTTTCCACACCTTTAGCTGACATGCATGAGGTGTAGACATCATTTCCACTCGTTCCATAAACTAAGTTTTTCAAAAATGTTGAATTGTGGGGTCGGGGTCGTTATGTACTCCTTATCGAAGTCCATTATTTTCTTCCAATTTATGTCAGATATGCAATTCTTTCTATTTTTGCAGAAGGATTTCTTAAGATTCTCTAAATCAAGTTATAAACCAGCACAGAATGTTAATTTTAAAGCCAATAAATACAAAGATAACAACGGAACTTAGTAGACCAATATCTCTGAAAGCATAGTCTAACGCAGGTTTGTAATCAGAGATCTTTAAAAAAATTCAAAATGAAAACATTCGAACTTTCCTTGTTAGAGTAACTTCGGGTAATGTGGACTATGCATCTAATGTGGATCACCCCCATATCTTAGAAAATGCTTGAAATATCTCAAGGTGGTGATAAATGTTTTTCTAATTGGCGAAAACAAACATTAGTCTTGGTTTTGAATAAAGTTAAGCTCTGGTTGTAAAAGTGTGATTTGAACATTTTTAGCACAATAGTCGAACGATTTTGCAAAATAGTCGAACACTTGGTTTTTCTCGAATATAAAGGAGTTATGCGGTTTTCTTTAACAAAAATATACATTTAGCTGTAATTACAATTCATGATTTTTAATTTTTATTAATTTTCGAAGCCGATAATTATTTTTTAATAAAAATATTCGATGTCGGGTAATGTGGACCACTATAAAAAATGGGACCTCTTCATGAGGACGAGTTCAAAACATGGGCGCATTGAGGAGGTATTCTATCCTCTGAAAACTCAATATGCAAAATTACAGCTGCTTCCGTTGAAATGAAGCTAGGACCTTCAAAATATCGCAAATGGGGTGGTACCATTAAATGGGGGTATTCCAAAACATGAACCCATATATTTTTGCATTCAATTCACAACCTACATTTAACTTACTGATCCACATTACCCACACATACATTCGCAATTTTGAGTTTTTTTTTTAGTACAGTAGATATCGGATATAAGAAACTCAAAAAAGCCGGAGATTTCTTTCTTATATGCGTTTTTTTTTCTTATATGGAATTATAGGATATAAGAAAGTATAAGTTCGGTGTTTTTGATAATCTTTCTTATATGAGATGTGCTTATATCCGATATCTACTGTATAATGCAATAACATTTTTATAGACAAATATATATAATGTTTGACCTGCAAAAAAATTTTAGCAGATTTTATAAACATGAGAAAGCCATACTATTAAACACTTTTTTGACTAAAAAAATTTGCAGGAATCCACTGTAACTTGACAACGAGTAAACTTTAAGAATATATTGCTCATTTGCTGCAAGACCGGCATAAATCAAAAAATCGATTTTGCAGAAAATGCGTTTTAAGTTGTCAATTTGACAACAGCATACAACGTGAGGTATATTATAGAGAACATTCGTGCATTATTAACTCGAATATCACGTTTTTTGAGTTATGTCTTGCAGCAAATGAGCGATATATTCTGGTAAAATGGTAAAACTTTACAAATTTTTAACATCTGGAACACAACACATTGTCCGCAATTTAGAATTACGTGTTTTCAATAGAGCTACAGGCCGACTTTGGAGTGGTTTGAAGTACAGACATGGATGCAATTAGGCGTTTCAGCTTTAGTTGCATATTCTTTGACCACATTTAAAATATCATTAACTGGGAATAACATGTCTTTTAAGACTGTCATTGGAATGTACTTATTAAAAACTCACGCCAACAAAGCCACTTAGTTAATGTCCTGGAAGGTTTCGAAAGTCACAAACTCGTTCAGAGGATATATCTTTGGAATTACATTCCTAGCTGCAGTGTTATTTGATTTGTCGTCGCAATGGTGGAAGTTTCAAAATGAACACCGCGAGTACATGTTTTGAAACATTTTTTTAAAACAACCAAAACCTCTTCGTTGCGATCTTGTCACAAAAAAATAGCTTTAGTAATGTCTCTTCTGAGTCGTTGGAATGCTATATTGAATTCGTTGACTTGGATAAAAACTTTCGGCAAGCTTTGTGCTTTACCTTTAGCACGATATTATTTTCCGAGCTGCCGACATTTTCATAAACTCCTTCGAAAGGGAAGTTGAGCATATCTAGCTATAATGACATTCCATTTGGCTTCGCTTTGGATGTTTTGGCAGCCATCTTTTAACTGTACTAAATAGGATATAATAGTCTGGAAAATGTAAGCTACGCCAACTGATATTTTCTAACTATATCTACATTCATATTGTTTAAAATACCAATTTCATTGAAGATGTTATTAAGATAAAAGTCGTTAATATAAATATAGTGTAATTGATATTATCTAATCCGGGGTATTATAATATCTGCAACCAACATTTCAACCTGTCCATGCTATTGCTTCAAACTAGATTTTAGTTATTTGACTAATTACCAACATTAACTCAATGGACACAGTGATTACGAGCAACAACTAAAACTCGATAAAAACAGTCCTGCGAAAAAGAAGTACAACACAAATTAACAATACATTATTATTTCATATAAACTAAAAATTACTCTCTCACATTTCGACAATTTATCTATTCGACATCAGATAAATTATTAAATAAATATATTTATCTTAATTATGTTTGTAAACAGAAATATAATTTGATCATCTTTTTTTGTTATTGCTATTTCTTTCAACAATATTGTTTTTAAGTAGCAAAAAAATATATATATATATATGTGTATGTATGGCTATGTGTCGCTTTGTATGTTTCAGTCAGTGACTGGCTGTGAGAGTACTCTTTTTCATACCTTTTGTATTGTCTGTACTTGGTGGGGACCGACCGAATAACTGACTGACTGTGTAATATTTAGTGCAGACTACAAGCAGCAGTATGCTATGATGTATCAACAACCCGACCAACCAAACAATATCTTGAATATGGACAATGATTTTGTTAATTGTATGAATGGATGAATGTACCTACCTACGTACGTACGTCACACATAACTACTACCGCCCGGCGACCACATTTTGTTAGCTCCTCCAATGAACATATATATAGACATACCAACGAACTTTAAATACGCACATAAAGTGTTGGTATTTATTAAATGCAAAAGGACAAAATATTCATAGTCTAATAACAGCCACAACAACAACACCAACCACAAAAGCAGCAGCAACAACAATTGTTAGAAACTGGATTGATTTTTTTCTTCTAAAATGAATATGTCGCTTGTATTTTCTTTTTTACATTAATACAATTTCTGTTTGGTTTTTTTTTTCTATCTTCTTTTTCATTATTTTATTTTACAGACTATGTCTATGTGGAGACATCTCCGAATAGTCCATATCTTATACGCCGCATAGAGGAATTAAATAAAAATCAAAGCGGCAATGTTGAGGCAAAAGTTATGTGCTTCTATAGAAGACGTGATCTTCCAAATCCCCTGGTTCAATTAGCTGATAAACATCAACGTAAGTAAACAAAAATTTTTTTTAATTGAAATTACTTCAATATAACTATTAAGAGAATTTTATTAAAAAATAAGCCAATTCCAAGGACAATTTTGTATATTTTTCGGAAAATAGAAACGTATTCTTTCTTAAAATAATAGTATATTTATATTATGTATCCTCTACAGTACAGTTAAATATTTAATGAATTTCAATAACAATCTTTTAAGAGGACATTTAATATTTCAAAATTTGTACCTGTTTGAAATTGAATTTGACACCGAACTGTTTTCCTCATTTTATTTATTCTTTTGGAATACCAAATTTGTTGAAAACCAAATAACTATAAATATCGATTTTCACTTTGTCTTAACAAAAAACGAAAAAAAGAAGTAGCAGCAACAGAATGTACCAAAAAGGGACACCAACAGACCATAGTATCCCAATAATAGCAACAACAAAAACAAACATGCAGATAGATAGTCATACCATGAACGCGCGTACCCACGTACGTATGTATACACACAACCTAATGCTTTTTGAGGCTTCCTTTCCATAACTGTTTAAAATAACAATAAAAAACGAAACGAGACAAAACTTTGTTTGTTGGGGCATCTTCAATTCGCAACACAACAACAACAAGGGAGACAGAAGAAGAAAGGACAAAAAAACGTAACGTAACAAAACGCTAATGGGTTTTGTGCTTTGAATGTTGTTGTTTTTTTCTTCTTCTTACATTGTAAATGTGAACGTCGTCGTCGTTTTATCATATGTTTGATATACATATACATATATTTTTTCACAGTACACTAATACTTGCATTGTTGTATGGTGGCTCTTAGCTTTGGTCAAGTTGTGTTTTGTGGTGACATCAGGGATTTATTTACACCTCGATTTGTATTCTATGGCATGTTATGAATTAAAGTGTCATATTGTAAATCTTCTTTCGAGAAGATTATTTTTTTTATAACTTCAAAGCAAATACTACTATAGGAAGGTTTGTTTAAAAAAGGCCTCTAGTTTCGTTATAGGTAAATCAAACGCTTTGAAACTTCACTAAACATTTGGTTACAGACAACCGTAGGCTTCAGTAAATTCGCTGTTGAGTCAAATACTGTAAAATATATTAATAAGCTTTTTTGTCCTGACTTTCAAGCCTACCTTACTTTTCCCTAGCCCTAGATATTTAGAACAAAAGTTTCGACACTTTAATAATATCTAGCATATACCCTCTACTTTGTTAGCGAGTGTGTGAATGTATTTCAAAACCAATACAGACAATAATTACAATTTTAGTACCATTTATTACCTATTTTCTCTTATAGTACATTTTTTCAAAACTGCCTCCATATCTCAACCCTACACACCAATTCTGAAATCTAGCAACAGAAATCTAGCTCTTTACTAAATTTGTTATCATTTATAACCCTTTGTACTCTTGTAATATTTTTTCGAAAAAAATCCAAATTTCAAATATAGGCTCACCCAAATGCAAATTTTAATTTAAATTTCCATAATTACCTATTTTAACAATCATAAGTACGAATTTTCAAACAACCCAATCTTAATTTCAAATCTCCGAAATCCAGCTCTATGTGTTCACCTAAATCAAAATTTTATCAAATTTAGTACTCATTCGTACAAATTTCCATAACTACATACATCACTCGGTTCACTCTAAAAACAAATTGTACCAAATTTAGTGCCATTTAGTACATATTAATAGACATTTTCAAAACATACACCAATATTCCAGCTCTATCGGTTCACCTAAATCCAACAACTAGTACGAATTTCCAAAACATTCTACATAGTCTAACCCTACACTCCCACCGTAACCATATTTTCATTTTCTCTATCGATTTACACAAATTCACATTTGGTATTAGTAGGAATTTCCAAAATGCTCTACATATCCAAATTCTACACCCCAACAATCATCCTAACTCACAATTTCAGGATCCCAGCTCTATCAGTTCTCCCAAAATTCAAATTGTACCAAATTTAGTACCCATAAGTATGCATTTCCAAAACTACATCCTTACCCCAATGCTGCATTCCAACAGTAGTGTAACATTTCCAAATTTCAGGATTACAGCTCTATCGAATCACAAAAAACCACATTTGATACTATTTTGTACACATTAGTAACATTTTTCGAAACATCTACATATCCCTATACCTTACCCAAACTTTGACCCAAACTCCAAATTTCAGAATTCCAGCTATATTTGTTTACCCAAAATTTAAATTTTACCAAATTTGGTACACGTTAGTACAAATTTCCAAAACTTTCTTCATCGGTTTACCCAAAATTAAAATTGTACCAAATTTAGTTCTCATTAGTAAGAATATCTAAAACTTCCTAACTAGCTCAATTCTGTGTACCATATAGTACGAAATTTCAAAATGTACTATACACACCAATACTAAATCACATCATAGTTGGGGTGAAGGATTTGTGTGTAGTAACAATAAATTCAGGATTCCAGCTCTTATCGGTTCACCCAAATCCGAAATTGTACCTATTATAGTACGATTTAACACTTTTCGTACCCATAAATAAACAATTCCAAAACTACGTACATATCCCATACCATTTGGCACACAATTCTAATTTATATCTCCTTAGTACCCACCTGGCAGACAATGTATAAAACAATTTTATAATATCCCCATAGATTTTCCGTATTTAGAACGTCCACATCATGGTAGGGAGAATAAATAGTTCGACCTGTGGGAACTTTACGACTTTTTAATAGTTAATTTTATCTATTTTTAATAACTGTAATGGAAACATTACTTTCTAATCCAAAACACAGCAATGATAACATCTCCAAAAAATATGTTTATTTTAAATATGCCATATAACAACATTTAATATCTCCACCAAATAATGAGTCCTACTAATGAGTACAGAGCAACAATTCAAAATCCATCCTCCTTATGCCAAATATTGCAAATAACTTTTACGGCACGTTAATATAAAAAATAAAACAGGAAATAAGACTTGCTGGACAGATCAACCGACCGACCCGACCAACTGTCTGTTGGAATGCTGGTTGGTTGGTTGGTTGCATGGCTGGGCTGGTGGTAACAAGGTATAATGGTTGTGTCATGTGCAGTGTTGTGTTGTAGACACAGACATGTGTTGGCTGTTGCATTTTTCTTTTGTGTATGCATGTGTGTGTGTGCTTGGAGAAAATGAACCAACATCCTCAACAGATGAGAAATGAATGAGATGTGTACGTACACAGGAATAAAGAACATCTACAAACACGCACACACATACATTCGCATTCTATACACTTGTGTATTATTGGCCCAGTCATAAGGATGACGGTGATATAACTTTGCTGAGTGCAACGAATATAGTCCTGTTGTTATCGTCGTTGGTAGCAACATCATAATCATCTTCATACATCTCATCCCATCGTTAGCAAAACAAGAATATGTACTAACAAAAATTCAAAATAGGTTTTAACTAACAAAGTGTAGACATAAACACCCACTCTCGTTTACTATAATACACACATTTACGGCGTCGTATATATATCCCACAAATATTTCACTATTGATGTGCAGTACAAAACTGAATTATATATCCAATTTCAATAATTAAAAATGTTCAGTAAATCATGTCATGCCATTTGTAGATGCAATATCTATTGTTAACTAAATATGCATATGTATGTGGGCCAAGTGATTTGAATTGGAATTATCCTTCCAAGCAATCGAAGCACCTTTATTTCTACTATAATTTGTCGAGTAAACCCTTTTTACTTCCCAAGCAAGAATGCCAGCAGATATTACGATATTACTCCCGTCGCCAGTACCAAAAACAATGGAGAGGTTACTCCTCAACATGAACCACACCATATAACCACATACATGAGTATAGAACTGAGATAGAACAGGTGGTGCAAGCAAACATTTACGGTGGCCCTTGACATATGTATGGCCTTCGATACATTAAACCGATAAATTAGTTATAGTCCTTCGATGTAATAAACCATGCCAAGTTCTTCGAGGTCATATTGAAAACCAAACTCGTCATCAGAACTTCAGAAGAATGAAGGTTGAAATTTTACCAACGAGTAAAACACCAAACCCAAACTTTTGGTACAAGCACATGAAGATGGAAACCTGGTTACAGATACAGATATCGTGTTGAGGATTTGGCAGGAACACTTTGCAATGCTTCAGGTATCAAATAGTGGCGGTGAAGAAGATACCCCAGATCCAATAAGAGATGACCACATAGCGAAGATGAAGTCAGAGTAGCAATTAATCGGCTGAAGAACAATAAGCAAGTGCAGATGCTGGTCAAGAGCATGCACCAGCTGATTAGTACAATTTGGCTAGAGGCTCAAAAGGCATTTAAAAGCGAACTAGCTAATAGTTCACGCGGAGGGGGAAGTCCACGAATTAGATGGAAAGGTCAAGTGGAAGACAACACAGCCAAACATGGTCTTTCAAATTGGAAGTACTGCGCACAAGACCGACGCACTTGGAAATCTTTTTGTATGCTCGGCTTATGGAACAAATTTTCTGTCACAAGCCAGCTAAGTAGGTATTCAACTGTACAGCTAAGCCAATTCACCTATCACCGAATTTCGTGGATCTACACAGGTTACAGAGGATACAGAACATGACAATGGAAATCGAATCTCTAACACCGTAATCTCTTAAGTGACCTACCTTAAAAATCAAGGAAGTTTTAAATATTATTTTTGTTGCAGCAGGCCAACCTATTCCTTTTACACAATGGACTGAAGTAACAAACGTTGGCCAAGTAATGCTCGGGTCGTTTCGCATTGTAGGCCCTCTGTCGTAGAAAGGTTTGAATATTATTGGTATTTTCGCTATGCTTAACCTGAGGTCGCGTGCGTAAGCATTTTTTGTCTCAGGAAATTTATTCCTTTGGAATGCTTGTGGCAAATAATAATTTTATGGCTTGGGGGAAGCATCAGGTTGTGTTCTGGACCTACCCTTTGGATGTCTTAGCAGTTATAATCTTT